CGCATCAAAAGCTATGGTAAACAACAATAAGTTGGGGTAGAAATAACACTTACTGGACGGGGTCTTGGGTCCAAAACGCTTGTGAAAGGACGCCCAATCGCGAATTCCAACGGTGTGGGGTAACACGCGAGCCACCCAATCTTCAATATCAAACACGGGAGAAGGTGCACGCTTTTCAGCTCAAAAACAAGGAAGTCGCGAGTGAGTCGGAAATGAAAGAATGAAAGAAAATAACGAGCATACGGCGAGATACTTACGATTATAGTTCCACTGTTCGGGAAACCCAGCGGGATTCGCCACTAAGTGCTCGGTCTTGACAAAGAAGTGCTTATGCCAGAACCGCCGGTTCGTCTTATCATCCATCCCGGCCACCAAACCTTTGATCCCACGATGCCGCAGGTGTATCAATGTACCTCTATAAAAGCTAGGCAAAAATAGATGCAGCAGGTGGCGAATGTTGACCTCACAACCGGCCAACTCCGCATACTTCGCCAGCATCAAAAAAACTTTGTACAAATAAGTGGAGAGTTAAGCCGGGCAGGCGTTGTAAAATCGGCAAAATTCCTCCGCTGATGGGGAGAGAGGAAGAGAATAATCGATTAAGAACAGATATACGTAGAGAGCACAATGTCCGGGTCGGTAAACCTCTATGATGTCGCCCCCTGCTAGAATAATTTCGACGTGAGCAGGAATACAGTATTTAGACCGGAGGTCGGCTATTTGAGGCGATCCCATTTCAGAAAGCTTCTGAGTAGGAGCGGGAGCAGGTTCCTTTGGGAAGTCATGTCTGATCAAAGGGTTCTTGGGGACCACCTCCTCCACGGTGGGGAAGCTTTCCTCCTCTTCAACCATGAATTCCTCACCGCCGGGAGGAAGGGCCACCGATAAAGGAGTGGCATCGGAAATTTCGTCGTGAATATGAGGGATGTTGACATATTTTCGTAGTGAAACGAATGCAATAAAATCTGAAGAAGAAGATATCAACTGGGTAAGAAGTCAGGGACTGGAATTTAAGAGGCTGCAAGAGATTGAAAGCGGAGATCGAAGAAGAAGATCAAAGGAAACAATACACATGCGAAATGAGAAATGACGAAAATTTTCGAAAATGAAACCCCCCCATATATATATATATATATATATATATATATATATATCCGGCCTTGTCATACTGCATGTGCAAATATCAATAATAACAATAGCACGAACAACTCATGTGCGAACACCCCGACAATCCTCTCAACAATATCACGTATGCCAAAAACATAACAACACAAGATAATAACTTGCACCACATGTTCCCATAAGCCATAATATTTCCTCAAAACATTTCCAATACCACAACCACACACATACATCAGCTCAACGACACTAAGTACATCAACAACAACAATAACACGGGAGTACATCAAGTAAATAAACACAAGAATCTCCAAACACAAAGAATGGAAGAACGAGATCACAATTAAAGACATAACAAATAATAAGGGTTTCAAACAAGAATAACTCAAAAATGGGAGAGATAGTGTGTAACAACGATATCAAATAAGAGCAACTCAACAATGGAAGGGATAACATGTAACAATGATTACAAATACATACAACTCGGCGATAAGAGAGATAATATGTAACAATGATTCCAAATAGGTACAACTCAACGATAAGAGAGATAACACGTAACAATGATTCCAATTAGGTACAACTCAACGATAAGAGAGATAACACGTAACAATGATTCTAATCAGGTACAACTCAACGATAAGAGATAATTTGTAACAATGATTCCAAATAAGGATAAGTCAACAATAGAAGGTATAACAATAACTTCAATTAAGGTTAAGCAATTACGGAAGAGATAACATGGCAATAAAAGAGGAAACAACTTCAATTAAGGCATATGAGAGTATATTTGGCAACAAGGGTAGAACATTAATCAATCAACTTCAAATAAGACACGCAAGGGTAAATTTAGCAATGGAGGATTTAACATGATAAGACAACTTCATTTTAATGTACATACCTAAGAGTCTAAACCGGTCAAATTTCCACAAATAAGCCGTGCACACATTCATCACCTCGTGTACACGCCTTTCACATAGTTCAAATAGTGCAAACAAACCAATCCATACGGGGTAGTTCCTCCACACAACGTTAGGCAAGATACTTACCTCAAAAGCCTTCAATCAATTCTCAAAAATAGCTTTTCCTTTATAATTCACCTCTGATCGGTACAAATCTAACTAAAATCGACTTAATAACATCAAATAATGCAAGATAAATCAATTTCGATGAATAAAGCTATGATCTTTACACGATTCTTCAAAAGTCAATCAGGGGCTCGTCCGATCAAAACCCGGGTCCAATAGTAGATTCCGACTACCCATGACCCCACAAGTTCATATATGTGATTATTTTCAAAATTCCGAGTCCACATCGACTCTCAAAACTCAAATATTCTTATTTTTCAAAAACTTGACAAATTTTCACTTTGATTCACATAATTTTGATGTTAAATCTAAGATATATTGATGGAATATGATTAGATATAGATTAGAATTGCTTAACCAAAGTTTCTAGATGAAAATCCCTCTCCAAAGTCGCCTCCTACTGAGTCTAGGATTCTAAAATATAAAAATAAGGCTAAAAATCCCGTCCCTCGGGTTTTTGTCCATGCGCAAATGCGAACGCCACAAATGTGAGAAATCAATCGCAAAAGCGAAGAACACACATCACTGCTACAATCACAAATGTGACATAATGTTCGCAAATGCGAATAGTAGACACCTCACAAATGCGACTAGACTGATCGCAAATGCGAGAAAGCTCACCCAGCCCCACCTTCGCAAATGCGAACTCTGTGTTCGCAAATGCGAACCTAGAAGACTTAGCGATACATCGCAAATGCGACCTCCCACCTCACATTTGCGAGGCCTACAGTACAAGATCACACCAACAATGTTAAAACTCTTCCAAGCACTCCGAAATGCGTCGGAAACTCACCCGAGCCCTCGAGGCCGCAAACCAAACATCAACACAAGTCTAGAAATATAACACAAACTCTCTCGAACGATCAAATCATCAAAATAACATTCGAAATCATGAATCATACCTCAAAACACATGAATTCAACATGAAACTCAAGAACTTCTAAAAACACCGCGTCCGATTCCTATCAAATCAACTCAGAATGACGTCAAACTTTGCGGACAAGTTCCAAATGACAAAACAAACTTATTCCAAGTCCCGAAATAGAAATCCAAATACGATAGCTATAAAGTCAACCTAGGGTCAAACTTATCAAAATTCTAAGCCTTTAAATTGTCAACTTCCGGCAAAATTACACAAATCAACATAGGGACCTCCGATATCGATTACGGGTATATGTGCAAGTCCAAAATCACGATAGAAATCTATCGGAGCCATCAAAACACTGCTACGGGATCGTTTTCGTAAAAGTCAAATCTTGGTCAACATTTTTAATTTAAGCTTCTAAAGTGAGAATCATTCATCTAAATTCATTCCGAATCGTCCGAAAATCAAATCGAACATGCACGCTAGTCATAATACACAATATGAAGCCACTCAAGACCTCGAACCACTGAACAAAATATTAAAGTTCAAAACGATCAGTCGGGTCGTTACACCAATGAGTACAACAAATATCTGAAGAAGAGCATGTTCTAGCGGCCAGCCAGGGTTCTACTACGACTGATCAATGCCAAGATTTTTCCTACCTAGAGCGATACTGATGTCTCCAGGCCGAAGGTGTTTTTGATTGACGCCCACCCGACTAAGATGAAGTTTGATCTTGGCAAGATCATGTTGGAACATACAGCTTGAGTGCGACCATTTGGGGCCTGCCGCCTATATAACCCGAGTATAATCACTCGGGTTCTACAAACGAACCATGTGGAGGAAGAGTATTATTATGATCGAACGATCCCGGTACCTCGGCCTATTAAGGCCTTTAATGTCACAGCTATGATAGACCCCTTGCTGCTGTTGTCCCTGTGGATCAGAGATTGGTTCGTGTTGAGGAGACACTAAAGCTATTGTTTGCCGATATGTGCCTTCACTGCTAGAGGGGAGACTGACTTGGAGGAACTGAAGCACGATCATTCCCTCTTTGTTGTCACTCAACAGTGGGTTGGGCTTGGCCAAGGAGGACAAGTGCAGATAAGGACGTGAACTCTATTCCCTCTGATGATGAGGAGTACTTTTGCACCTTTGAGGGTTTTGATGAGGATTAGGACAAGGTCCTTATGGAGTCACCTTTTCACTCTTATTTTTACCGTTTGCATTAGGGACAATGCAATCACTTAAGTGTGGGTTGGGGATGCTCCTATTTGCTTGTATTTGTTTGTTTTCTATTTGCCATTTGGTTTTGTTTGATTTATTTCTTGCTTTATTAGATAATGTGGCCTGTAATTATAACTCTGAATTCTATTTGGCCTGTAATAGATAGTAATTACTGATCGTTTTGACTCTTCCCGATGATGGATTTCGTCGATTGGCTTCTTGAGATAATTGAAGTTGAACGAGAAAAATACAAAAAAAAATCAATCAAATTGTAAAAATCCAAAAATATGTCTTTTATTTCTATTTTAGTTCTTAGATAGTGTAATAATTTCCCCTTAATTTTTTTTTTCGTGGTTCATTTTCAAGGGTTTTTATTTAAACTGGGTGTAGTTAGCTTTTTCTTTTTGTAGAAATAAAGAATTTTGAGTCATAGTGCTAATAGGAGGCAATTTTCGTGATTGTGTTGTATCTTGGGAGTGTTGAGCGCGACAGCTAGGCTCAGTTCTTGACTTGTGGATAAGTACCTTAATTTGTTTGATCTTGATTATACCTAACTACTTTGACAAGAGAGTCGGGATAGATCTGATCT